GGTGTTGCTGGGTGAGCTGTAGTTTACACATTGGCCGCCAGAGGGTTCTCCTATTAAAATGTCAACGCTAAACATAAATTCTGAGCTCTGCCCACTTTTCTTGTCAGTTTATTTACTATTAGTGGTAATAACAGTTGAAAACCAAACCAAAACCAAAGCACAAGAAACTTACACACTTTTAAAATAAGCATTACTATCTATATGTGAGGGGAACAGCTATCTCGAAAAAAAAATGCTGGACATAACAGTTAAAACAGCTAAAAGAAAAAGTCCCAAGTGCTTTGAGTCAGCCTTGACTTCAACGACGTCAGTAGCCGCAGGCCTTCAGTTTATGATGCCGTGCCCCGGGTTATTACACCGCTGCTGAAGCACCTGCCTTTCCTGCTCGGCCGCACCTCTGGCTGGAGCTGTTACTCGGCAGAGCTGCCAGTGAGCATCACCGCGACGAGTATTTCCAGCGGGCAGGTACCGCTCGCCTCTCTTCACCCAGCAGCCTCTGCTGTCAAAACTGCCAGCAGCTTTTGGAGCTGATTTCAGCGAGCCCGGGATGTTTGATTCGCTTCCTCTTGGCTCTCAACAAAGCTAGCATTTGCTTGCCCCATCATTCCATTTTCCTGGGTCGTCTTCCAACAGCTCTCGCAGAGCAGCCCCTTCGGTGCAGGAAAACATTGGCAATGGCCTTCTCTGTTCCTCTAAATGTGAACATGTAGGAGAAAATTTACACCTCTTTTTCAACAGTATAGCAGGACAGACATCTGTGACTAGTGGGAGGCATGTTTGGGGGATGTCTCAGAGATTTCCGCCTGGTAGTGGTTCAGTTACACTTCACAAAATAAGGGTCTGAGAAGTTGTAGATCATGGAACAGCAGGATAGATGACTTTCGCATCCAGCCGCTGAATTAAACAGCAGACGCTATTCCCTGTTGTTATCTCCTTACAATGCATGCTGTGTCAGCTTTTTCAGCTTCATCATATTTCCAGGTGAGGAAAAAAAAAAAGACATTAACACTACTGGATCAGGAGCAAACCTACTCTTTTGTAAGCTTGTAGTTTGGGCTATGGTACCTATGTAATTGTCTGTTTGATTGCCTCTGAAAAAATGTGGTTTGTCTGCTTCCTCCCTCTCTCCATCAGCATGCAAAGTATATCTGAAGGTAAAACATGCTTTGTTTGTTTGTAAAAATCCCTGTAAGTAAAGTCTGCTTGTGTCAGCATCCACATCTGGACATTACCACGTGTAGCCTTGTAGTACTTATTGATTGAGCTACTAAAGGTTGTGCAATTATCATTTCCCTAATTTTTTTCTAAGGGAACATATTAAAGGAAGCTTTCTTTCTTTTTCAAAGGGAATGTACTAAAGGAAGCTTTACTTTTTCTTCTTCTTCTTCTTCGTCTTCTTGTTTGAACAGCTGGAAAGGAGAAGTATGATGCAAAATATTATCAAGACAAGGGTAGCCTCAGCTATTTCTTAGTCGTACTTCAATGACTCTGAGTAAAGAATAAAATTTTAAGATGTTATGCAGGAGACAATCACAAAATCCTCCTATTATCTAATGTCACTTACAAATACGTGTATTAGTCTCTGCTATGCAAGTTATTCAGAAGAGGTGGAAGAAAAGGGATCCAAAAGGGCTTTGCCTGTACTTGAATCTTCTATTATGTTTCCACAACACAGTTCTGGCCCTGATGCCCAGGTCTTTTACAGACACTTACACTGGATGACAGAAATCATTGCTTCACTGTTCGCTCTTTACAGCCACAATTTTGGTGAACGTAAAGTGTAAGAGCATATGATAATGGATTTTTTCCTTCTTTGCCTAGTTGATCTATTCTTAGTGAAGTGAAGAGCACTCAGATTCATTAAAACAAACATTTCTCTATAAAATATTGTACCTGGCTGTAAAGCACATGGGATGGAGTCAAAGAAACACTACATTACTCATTTCAGATTGTTTAGGCTTTTATCAGTTATTTTCAATGACTTGGCATTTCATCACTTCCAGAAATTCAACAGCAATAAAGATGGGGTCATTCAGATTAATTTGAAACTCTGAAGTAATCTTCAACTCTGCCAGAGTCAGATCTCTGAAGATGTAGTATGTAATTACACTGCCATCGTCCTCCTGTAATAGTATCTTCACAGCATATGGAAGCTGTTAATGGTGCTACTGTGACAACTTACTTTCAGAATAAAATAAATGGAAACAAATAACGTATATTGTTGCCAGCTCAGGGAAAAAACTTCAAGAGAATATAATGTATAACATGAACACACACACACACACACACACACCCCCCCCACACACACACACCCCGAAAACAGCCTTTGTACAGAGGACATCTGAAATGATAGATACATGCTGCACACAAAATGTAACAGAAAGACAGTTTTGTAGAGTTTTAGAGTTACTTTTCTGTTTCTGGAAGACATTACTTCTTGCTGTGGACTTGCTGTGACAGTTTAGCTTTATTCAGTTTTTATTGTCCATTTTGCCTGTATATACTACTACCTCCATTTGCTATAGAGTATATTGAAGAGGCCTGAGTAACAGCCTTTTACTCCCGAAGGTCCTGAAAACCTTGTTCTCTGCAGCTTCTAGGAATGATGGAACAAACGGGGCAGACAAACTTATGCAGCAGCTGGTTACGCTGCTCAAACAGTTCTGCCAAATATTGCAGATTGTCTCACGTGACTTCTCTGCCTATAAAATTCTATTCTTCTACTTGCATAAATCTCTTTTAAATCTGTTTTCTAAGTTTGCTGCTGGCTTTTGTAAAGGATTAGTGATATGGGATGTCCCAAAGGAGCAAGCCCTTACTTCCCTCAGACTGCACTACGAAACTGGACTCTGCAACTGGTTACCCTTTTGCTGATTTCAGTCGTGTGTATTGCATGCAAGTTGGAGTATTTTCACATATAGGAAAGCTAGTAGCAATGCATATTGCCTGGTCAAGATTTCTCACTCTGTTGTAAATGTAATTTAAAAAAAAAAAAAAAAAAGTTATTTTTAAGGCCAAAAGTCATGTGCCAGTTGACATGCTTAACTTATGCAACAGTTCATGCTTAAATTACACTTAAAATTCAACCTAGAATCCAAAACTAGAGAAAGCCCAATGATTATGTATCTTAGCATAAGCATTCAGGCATTCCCTTATAACGTCTGTGTAGTCTCTATGTGACCCAAGGTGTGAAACTTCCTCAGAGTTTCAGGCTGAGCAGCATCAATGAGGATGATAAAAATAAGTAAAAGTGAGCGATGCTGCTGCTGAAGCTTTTAGGCTGAAATGACTGATAGGGCTTATTACTCAGCCCCAAAAGCATTCAGGAAACCGAGGCGGAGGTGAGCTAACAACTCATACACGCTGCCTCTGAGTTTCTAAAACAAAGACGGTTCGAAAGCGCATAGCGGGAAGAAATCAGAGCTGAGTAAGTGACAGGTAATCAGTCATATTGACTGAAATTCAGCACACAGTTACAGTTCTTTTGGCATGATTAGATTAGTTTTAGTTTTTAAGGCTCAAAAGCTGTTCTGGGGTTTGATTTTTACTTACAAAGGTGGGTTTTTTGTTGCTTTTTTTTTTGTTTCTCCACACCTGCAATTTATGGGTATGCCATCATTTACCAAAAAGATTTTCAGTTCTGCTGAGAATGAGAAATGAAAACCATCATTGCATCTCATCAGCAAAACAACCATTAAGAAATAACTCAGGTTAAGATCTAAGGACTTAGGTTAAATGCATAATGGCCTTCAACCAAACAGCTGTAAATGCTGTTTGAGCTTGTTTCTAATCTGTCAACATACATGTACTGCGTATATGTAAGCTTATCCTCTCCTGCTTTTTCTTTGTCTATATTTTTTTCAGTTCTTTTGGGCAGATGCCAAAGTATTGCATTGCAGTTAATTATGATAGCATGAATCTTCTAGGCAACAACAGTGAAAGAAAATAATTTCTTTCTCTTTGATCTAAATCTTTAATGTTTTCTCAGGAAAAAAATAATTCAGATTATGTATATTATTGTATTCTTGTTATCTTAAATTATCAAAGCATTTCAGTTTTTATCTTGCCCAGGTTATAAGGGCACTGATTTCTGTCTGTTTAGGAAGAATCCAAAGACAACAGTCCATATTTATCTGCTGGGGTTTTAACAATAGTGTACTAGACAAAAGAAAGGATACTGTAAATACAAGCAGATACTCAGTATACTAAACCTGTTACACCAGCTACAGCTAATCAGGCCAATGATTAACAGCATCTGACATACATGCTCCTAAAGCTGGGAAGACGTGATTCAGCAGAGCAGCCAGATACATCCACGCCTCTCCTGGCTGCGGCTCTGCGCCCTGCAGGGAGCTGGGACCTCGCATAGGGAAGAGAAAGGCCGTGATTTGTCACCGTGCGCTCGGATGCAGGTCACGCGTAACTTGGCATAGGCTGGTAAAACTTCATCTATGGGAA